GAAGTTGCTGGTGCTCTGACAAGGCTACGAGTTGGAGGAAGCCCATGGGCTTTAGCAGGAAGGATAAATCGGGGAACAGACTCCGTTCAGAGTCAGGGAAGAAAGCAGAAGTCTCCCACTTCAGACATTTCAGATGGCTCTTTGAGGAGCCACTCTGCTGTGGCAAGGGACCCAGGTCCTGTGCCTCTACGCCCACCACGCCAGGGACTGCTCTGAAGCTTTCTGAGGCTGTCCAGCGCACTCTCGGTTTCTCTTGCTCTTTTCATCGGTGCCCTTTCCACTACTTCCCCAGTGGGAAATTCCTCCTCTCGAGACAAATCTATCTCCACCACATGAGCGCTTCTGGATTTGCACAAGCCCCAGGAAAGCCCTGAAGCAAGCTCTGTTGTAATTCAGCCTGCCAGAAGGCAAAGCAGAGGACTCGGAGCCTGCTCGGTGGCAATTCAGGTCCTAGCACCCGAGGCCAGCATCACCAGGCAGGCGGGGACGCGGCCAGAGCCCCGCAGCCACGTGCATCACGCCCCTCCCGGCCCCGGGTCTGGCTGACAGCCCCCAGGGCAGCTTACAGCCCCTCCACCGCACCCAACTACAGAACCTGTGATGCCACCCACGTGCACAAGCGTTTGCAGGACACATGATAGATCAGAGGTTGTCACTCAGCCCCAGAAACGGGGAAAAGTGAATTGCAGACTGCAGCAGGAGGGTACAGGCTCAGCCCAAAGGAAGGGAAAGCAAGAATCCCCTTCCTGGGGCTCCCAGGCTGGTTCAGCTGCTGGCAGGACAGGACGTCAGCCCAAGGGGACACGTGCAGGTGCTGTGCTCAGTAAAATCCCTGTGATGGATCATCCTGGGTGCTAACACTCACCCCTGGTACTGCGCTTTTAAAATCTCGTTTGATAACGAAGCAGCAAAGGCAGACACATGGTTTACTCCTATTTTCCCTGTTTCTACTCCTTGAACCATTTTGCTCAGAAAAGCCCCCAGAGCTCTCCTTTTAGGGCTGCTGATAGGAAAACCCAGCCCGGGCTGTGAGATTAGCTGCGGGTGAGTGGGTGGCCAGTAGAGAAAAGTGGAAGTCACTACACAGCTAATTTCCTCCCACTGCGCTAACGCCTCCGAGACGTCACTGAGCCAACCCTCAGGGGAAAAACAAG